GTGCATACGCGCATATGCACAAGGTCGTCAACGTGTTAAGGGCACCGTTCACCCGAATCAAGGGTTTTGAGATTTTGACGCTGTGTAATAGCGAGTAAGCGGGTATAGGTAATCGCCCAACTCCAGCTGCAAGAGTGTGGATGTGGGCGGTTCAAAGATAATGAGCTTGAAAGCGGCTTTGGTAGATAGAAATGGCGAAAATCTGATAATTATAATAAAGGACGGGTTTATGCGCCTAGGTACTTCAGACCATCAAAGTTGAGTACCTGGGCCATATTCACCTTCTGGGGCTTTCTTGCTTTAGAATTCATTTACTTGGGCGACTACTTAGTTAAGGACCGCTATTGGACAACTTCAGAATCTCCCCGACCTCGGTGGGTACTCGGTGCCTTATTTTACTCTTTCATACTGCCTCATCCTCAGAATATTTGTAATTGGGAAATAATTTTTTATGAAAATGGTTCGAATGAGTTGCAGATTTGCAAGTAACTTGTCTTATTAAATCCCAAGAACAATCTTTGATTACGTTGGCGCGTAAGTGATGCAACTTTTTATAAGACTTTTGTCTTTTTGATATAACATGTTCATAGGTTGGATAAAGATTATGATGTAAGCTACAAACGCAGCCTTTTTCCCGAATTGCTTTTGAAGGTTACGATAGTTTACGCTCTAGAGGGAAATTTCCCGTTCTGTTTCAAATTTTGCTGCGACTTGGTCTAGAAGGGTTATTTCACGCACTAATTGCAAAAATTTATACCCATTTTGCACGGAAGAGCCTCCCTTGTAATGTTAAGGTATGTTGTTCATCTTACTGTTAGTAACCAAAAAGTATAGTGTTCTTGTTCAGCATGTCCAATTATCCCATTGTGCGAAGTGGAAATTTTGAGGTTTCGCAACTTATTTGTTGACGGTGCCCCTTCAAATTTGACGCATTAGGCTTGTTCAACTTCTCGAGAGCGCCAGAACTCGATTTGTCTTCATATTCCATTTCTTTTTTTAATGATTGTAATAAGTCAACCTCTAGCAACACGCCGACTACATTTAGTTTTGATATGTTCGAGCCAGGTTCTGTAGCTGTGAGAAAAGTTGCAAAATTTAAGTGCCAATTCAATATATGAGATTATCTCTGCTCGCAGAAATTTGAAGGAAACCCAAATGGAATGGGCAATGCCACGCTTAAGCAACCTAAAAAAACTTTCTGTTACGCCCCTGGGCTCTTCGATCGACACTAGGAGCTACATGGGTAATGCTAGCTCCTGCATTTTCTCTTCACACTGAAATCACAACAGAACTCTTCGATATTTTATCAAAAATCGGGAGAGGAGAGATCTAGGTACACAACCGTTCGATGTATGATATAGAAAATTTGCATGGAGAATGTTTTGCAGGCGCACTAGACGCTGCGTGAGTGACTGCCGAAGAGATTGGCTTGTCCGAGTGGCTTGCTCGGCACGGTGATGTTCATTGCTTCGGAGTAATCGTAAAGTGATGGAGCCTCTAGGATAATGAACATCGTTCCAACGTTCAGTACCGAGAATATAAGAAGGAAAAGTCGATCTAGTACCATCGCAACGAATGTCCAGTCGTCCGAAATCTGGAAAGTCAGTGAATATGCGCAGTATCCAGATGATAGGGAAAAGGTGTGCTGCACTACCTCACTTTCCCTCTCATTGTGCTGGAAGTGTTCAGCAATGAAGCGCACTTGTTGCAAAAGATTAATGAAAATGACGTCGTCTACTCGTCCTTTTGCTTTTTTCGACTTCCGAAAAACGACTCGCGGTGCTGAGTAGTTCGAGCTGCTGGCATTTAGGGGCTTCATTGGCTGCAAGTAGGGTTTCATCAAAGTTAATATTTGTACGCATCTGTTAGTATCAGTGTAACGGCTATCTAAAGTTATCAGTGAATCCACAAACCGTATTTCTGGTGAGCCATTGTGCATTATAACATCGAAATTATTCATACTGAACATACTTGCCGTACTTGAGCTTTGACAGGCGAACCACAGTTGAAGTATCAAAAAACTATAAACTCAATGTGCCCTATTTATATAATTTTCATTGGCCATTATAAAAATATGCAAATGACTTCTTCAAACTTGTAGATAATCAAGTAATTCAAAATTTTGAAAATTCAATTACGCCCTTTTTTTAAAAAATTTAGAGCCTCGGACCCGCAAAAAATTTGGAAAGCACTCCAAAAAATTTTTCGG